CCAAGTATAGCGATCGCCCACAAAACCATGTCTCGAAGATCACAGTCATCAATGGCCTGTTAAAACGCTTGCATGTACTGCAGAGGACGAGGGTTTCCACCTTCCTTTTCATTAAGCAGTTGGATTTCGTTTAGGTCTCCCATCATAAGCCAAGGGAGATTTTGGCTTTGATGCAATGCCCACATACGGTCCCAAGTTTTATACTTGTTTGCCCAACGAAATTCGCCATACATCCCAGTCAGTCTCCACCACGCTCCATTACTCTCCTCTATCTTCACATCAATGAACATTGGGTCTAGCTCAAGCCTTTGTATTTTAATCTCTTTTTTCCAGAATAAAAGCAGACCTCCTTTCCTTCCATTGCTTGGGCACACAAATTTCAAATCCATCTTTAACTTTCTACGCAAACACTCTGCCGGATAGCTATCAAGGCGAGTCTCCGACAAAAACATCACATCGGGATTACTGCTTCGTTGGACGTCCAGCAAAGCACGAACTGCCGGGGCATTCCCGAGCCCCTGGCAGTTCCAAGCTAGGAGTTTCATTGCCTCCGGCGGTCCTCCTCGAGGGAGGCCGCCGATCTCATTCTGTTTTCAAACTCAACCTGGTTGACATTACTGTCCACTGCCTGTCCATCATCACCCCTTAGTTTCTTCCTATTTGCATTCTTTTTGGGAGTGTCTGAAAGTGTTGGAAGCTCATCCCCTTCATTCCCCCGCTCGAAGAGCGAGACTTTCTCTGCTACTATTGTTGATTCAGGTGCCTTATCAGTTTTGGTTTCCACGAACGGAACAAGAGCATTACTTGGTACTTCGGAAGAAATTACTGAGTTGCTATCTTCAGCTCCTCTTTTGCCCAGAATATTTTCTGTGGCCAAACCCGTTCTTACGTCTTGGATAATCTGCGTTGGGATACCAGTTCCTCCCTGAAATACACCGTCTTGATTAACATAGTTGTGCCGCCATGCCACTGGACCAGCTCCTCCACTGCTCGGATCTGTAGGGGGATTGAACTGCATGTTGTTCCCAAGTCCTCTTCCAGGACTACGCCCAAAACCTCTCCCACACCTAGCAAAATTGTCCTCCCCCGATCTCTGACGATCAGTTGCATCTCGGCCTCCTCGGCCGCCTCCTCTACCTCTCCTGGTAGCTAGCAAGAAACTCCCCCATTCAAATTTTGATTTGTCATGCTCACCCGTGCCACACTCTTCATGCCAATGTCCTAACAAACCGCAAGCATTGCAAAACGTTGGCAGTTTCTCAAACTTAACCAAATACTTTTCAGTTTCTCCCCCTTTTGTAATTCCAACTGCACGAGTCAGTTTTTTGTTCACATCGAGTTTCACTTTCGCTCTGACGAATTCACCAATGAACCCGTTCGGTAGTGTCACCTGCACCTCCTCCACCTTCCTAACTCGACTAGCAAGGTTCCTTAGGGCACTAGGGCTTCTCAGTACACCATCAGGCAATCTATGGATTTGACACCATGTCTCTAACTGATCCAATCTTACTTTCTCTGGATTAGAAAATCCATCATACTCAGCCATGATCAACCCAATTCCTTTGAAATCCCAGGGCCCTTGGTGCATAGCCTTGTTCCAATCCCCAAGGCAATTGAATTGTATTGAGAATAAATTTGCATTGATTCTTCTCCACACCACCTCCTGAGCAGGATTCCACGCTGCTTTCATATCTGCTATAAGTGCACTTTGGCTGAAACTTTTCACCGTCAGGAGCCGGCCTAGGGCAAGCCACTTCGGTTTAATCGCCTCTACATCGATCTCATCTTCCCATACCAGATTGTCATTCTCAGCATCCTCCAGATTCAGACGCTCTAGAAGTTTGCTCGCGTCTTCCTCTCTCTGTCCTCCTGATCCGCTGCCCTCTCGTTCTGTTGCCATCCGATCGGATTCAAAACCACTAGATCGCAGGCGACCGCTTCTCCCAACCAAGGTGCCCCTGAGACGACTTGAGAAGGAGGAAGGGACTGGCGGCTGCGAAATTTCAGTATCCTGAGGTAACTCACGGTGGCGCCGCCACCGGAGGACAAGGGAACCCTAGGGAACGAGGCCTAGGGGAAAAAACTTAACACCATGGTTCGGCTGCCGACAAGAGAACCCTAGGGAACGAGGCCACCCTTTTTTTTTAAAATGGGGGAGAATTTCACTTCCTGGGCCTCTGCACCAACTAGGGATGCATACGGCCATTTTAGTATGAGTACCAAGATAAACATGGTCCTCAGAAATTTTTTAAATGAGTATCAAGATATTTTTTGATGAGTGGTTTCACCACACACCAAACTTGATCCTCAATAAATGGGGAGAAACCCCTGTGCATCACCTGCCAATTCTAGGAATTGAACTCGGGTCGTTAGGCTGCCCAACCGCATGCCCAACCAGTGAGCCAATGCTCTCTTTGCAGCCTCTGACCTTTCTTAGTTCAACCGAATGAACCATTTTTATTAACATAATTGTGCCTTTCCACTTTTTTGGAAAGATGGTTGTGTGTTTACCCTTTTCGGAGTTGTGCTTCCTAGGGAAGTATAGTTTTTGTTTCTTTTTCCGGAAGCACATGTTGTGTTTTTTTTTTTCTTTTTTAGGAAGCATAATTGTGTTTTTTCTCTTTTTGGTGCTTCTCATGAGAGCACAATTATGCTTTTCTTTTTTCGAGAAGTACAACCCAGGAAACATAGACTGGGTTTTTTCTCTTTTCAAAAAGTATAATTATGTTTTTTGCATCGTGGAAAAGCACCGCTTCCAAAAAATATATATCAAAACCAAGGAAAAACTGAAAAGCTAAAAGAACCAACAAACAAAATAGAAAAAACGAAAACACGCGTAGAAAAGGAAAAAATAGAAATCATGAGGGTGCGTCCAACACATGACACGTGGCGACTGTTGGGCGCAGCATTGTGGCCCTTCTAGGTAAAGAAAAAACATGACCTCTACGGGAACCCTCCAAGTGGTATCATTAATTAGTTGCTCCCTAGCAACGCCCGATTTTGGCCATATCACTGTGGACTCCTGGGTTATAGTAGTAGGTGATTTTGGCCCAACGAAAATTGCCATTGTTTTGTCAGTATCCGCGGAGTCACTAACGAACGGTGACCCCTTTTGGGGGACCTCGAGGGGTCACTTTTGGTGGTTTGGAGAGCACCAAGTGGTGCCTCCAGCCGGCGCCATGTGGAGCCGTCCTCACATGTCGCGTGCTGGAGGCTCCCTCCGAATTTCATTTTTTTATTATTCTTTATGCATTTTCATATATTTTTTCCTTGGTTTTCCTAAGTTTTGGAGAGAAGAAAATGTTTTCTTTGCGAAGCACATCTGTGTGTGTTTCTCTTGGAAGCACATATTTGCTTCCACGAGAAGCACAACCTATGCTTCCGCTAAGACCATCGCATGTGCTTTCATGAGAAATACAACCTGTGAGAAAAAAAAGGGAAAACACAACATGTGCCCCTCCCACCACCACCACCAAAAAAGTGAAAATCATAACCTTGCTTTCGGAATCCGTTTTTTCTTCTGTTTTTTCGGTTGCCAGTTTTTCTGTTTTTTATTCATTTTTTGTTTCCATATTTTTCTGGTTTCTGTTTTTTTTTGTGTTTTCATGGGAAAAAAGGTTTGTTGAAACCTATTAATAAAGGATCTTGTTTCAAAGATCTTGATGGAAGAAATCCAATGATTAAAACAGTTTGGTATTTGGACACATTGTTCAAGAGATAAAACATTTTGAATAAATGAATCTATGAAAAAAGAGAGAGAGAAAATCAAGGTTGCGACAAGTGTGTGCACAACAGTGCTTTACTTCTCTGAGAAGGTGAGGAGTGACCTTTGTAAGTGGTAACCCTCAAATAGTGATTTCACGGTATTTGATTTCTGAGCGAACAATTTGTTTTCCGTTCTTGGCCAATTTTGGCCCGAGAACAAATGCTTAGGGCTTTTGCGGTGCCCAAGCCTGTTACCATGATCCAATCCGAGAGATTTTCCAACCAATCCAAAAGACCGTGCCACAGATGAAGAAACATTTATGATATTCGTTCTTCGTGTTGGCTAACTAGCAGCAGGTTGTTTCCGTAGAAAAAAAAAGCAGCTAGTGGTTCCCGCAGAAAAAAAAACTAGCAACTAGTTGTTCTAGCAGGAAAAAAACTAGCAGCCAGTTGACTCGGGAACTTTCTAGCAGGCAGACAAACAGAATCATGATAATCCATGAATATTGTAAGCATCAATATTAAGTCTAGAACTTGAACTCTGATGGGTTGGAGATACCTGTTTTCCTATAGCTATCTAATCACGGGTTGATTTGCTTCTTTTTTTGACGAACTGGTTGGTTCCATTAGGTGTCTGAAATGAGGTCACCATGTTAAAAGAGGTACCCCTTGATTAGTTGATGGTCACGATGTTAAAAAAGAAAGCAAGAAAGAGGTCACGATGTTAGGTATCATGCGGCCCACCAGAATATGCTGAAATGGAGCTCAGCACGGGCCGATAAAACACCCAGGAAGCTACGAAGCCGGTGCAAACTAGGCCTTGGGCCGAAGGACGGGGCAAGGTGAGCCGTGGTCCGGTCCGGCTCCCCCGCGCCATCCCAGAAGAAAAAAAAGTGAGGAAGCGGAATGGGTGGAGGTGGTCGCGCGAGCTCGCGCCGTCCGGTGGCGATCTGACACGCGGTACGAGCGGCGGCCGGCATACGTGTCCAGCGGCGACGGGCCCGCGGCCCCGGGCAAGGTTACAACGGAGCCGTATTTACTCCTCCCCTGCTCTCCTCGCCACGGTTTCACAGCCGCCCCGAAACCACCAGAGCTTCCACCGCAGATCACTCGCCCGCCTCCCCTCTCCTCTCCTCCCAACCGTCGCGGTAACAAATCCCACTCCGTTCCTTCCTTCATCACACTACCTAGAAGCTTTGGCAGTTGAGTTAGGTGCCCACCACAGGGGCGCTCCGGTGGGATCATCTGGTGTGTTTGTTGGTAGCTAGCTTGCTAGGGGGAACGAAGAAGATCCGATGAGGTCCATGGGCAGCTCCGACTCATCCTCCGGCTCGGCGCAAAAAGCAGCGCGGCATCAGCATGAGCCGCCGCCTCCGCGGCAGCGGGGCTCGGCGCCGGAGCTCCCACCGGGCTTCCGGTTCCACCCGACGGACGAGGAGCTGGTCGTGCACTACCTCAAGAAGAAGGCCGCCAAGGTGCCGCTCCCCGTCACCATCATCGCCGAGGTGGATCTCTACAAGTTCGACCCATGGGAGCTCCCCGGTATGCTATGTCTATCTCGTCGGCCGTGCTTGATTTATCACGCGCCGCAAATTTCCGGTGCAATTAAATAATCGAATAATCCATCCATCTCATGCTTATACTATTGCTGTGCACAAGTATTTTTATATTCTTCTAGCACACATGTGTGTAGATATCTGGGTTATGTATGTGATCCTGTCGTGCTTGTTCATGCGCTCGGGATCGGGATCCATCCATCAGAGAAGGCGACCTTCGGGGAGCAGGAGTGGTACTTCTTCAGCCCGCGCGACCGCAAGTACCCCAACGGCGCGCGGCCGAACCGGGCGGCGACGTCGGGCTACTGGAAGGCCACCGGCACGGACAAACCTATCCTGGCCTCGGGGACGGGGTGCGGCCTGGTCCGGGAGAAGCTCGGCGTCAAGAAGGCGCTCGTCTTCTACCGCGGGAAGCCGCCCAAGGGCCTCAAAACCAACTGGATCATGCACGAGTACCGCCTCACCGACGCGTCTGGCTCCACCACCACCAGCCGGCCGCCGCCGCCTGTGACCGGCGGGAGCCGGGCTGCAGCCTCTCTGAGGGTACGTACACGTGTCGATCGCACGGTATAGCTAGCAGTATTTAATTACTCTCGAGCTTAATTAGGGTATTGTTGATGGTTGATGAAGTTAATTATGTACGTCGTCTCATCAGTTGGACGACTGGGTGCTGTGCCGCATCTACAAGAAGATCAACAAGGCCGCGGCCGGAGATCAGCAGAGGAGCACGGAGTGCGAGGACTCCGTGGAGGACGCGGTCACCGCGTACCCGCTCTATGCCACGGCGGGCATGGCCGGTGCAGGTGCGCATGGCAGCAACTACGCTTCACCTTCACTGCTCCATCATCAGGACAGCCATTTCCTGGAGGGCCTGTTCACAGCAGACGACGCCGGCCTCTCGGCGGGCGCCACCTCGCTGAGCCACCTGGCCGCGGCGGCGAGGGCGAGCCCGGCTCCGACCAAACAGTTTCTCGCCCCGTCGTCTTCAACCCCGTTCAACTGGCTCGATGCGTCACCCGCCGGCATCCTGCCACAGGCAAGGAATTTCCCTGGGTTTAACAGGAGCAGAAACGTCGGCAATATGTCGCTGTCATCGACGGCCGACATGGCTGGCGCGGCCGGCAATGCGGTGAACGCCATGTCCGCATTTATGAATCCTCTCCCCGTGCAAGACGGGACGTACCATCAACACCATGTCATCCTCGGCGCCCCACTGGCGCCAGAGGCTACCACAGGCGGCGCCACCTCTGGTTTCCAGCATCCCGTCCAAGTATCCGGCGTGAACTGGAATCCCTGAGCAAATGATATGAACACCACATACGCGCATGCACGCATGCATAACTTTTGCAAGTGTAGCCAGTAGTTGTTGCAGTTCGTGGTAGTCGCTTTCAGTGAGCACTGAGTAGCTAGCTGCATGCACATCACCATTGCATGGATATATATGGCTGCATTGCACCATGGCCACGTACTTGTCCGAACTTGCTAGCCATATAGTAGCACATAGCTAGGAGTATTTTCGAAGTAAAAAAGATCATAACATAGTGCTCCATATATATTGTAGTAAATATATATTTTAGATATATGAGTATGATATTAGCGTCATATGCATATAGTATATATTGTAGTGCATATAGTAAATACATATGCAATTGATTACAAACCCCAGTCAGATATAATTTTTGGCCGGGTCTAGCTACGCATCATGTATAAATAGGTGTGTATGTAAATAAGCAACGCATGGTAATTGCATACACGGGTATGATTCATCTACATGGACCTACATTGTATAACTTTTTTTTCGCGAATGAAGTTTTGTGAACTACTATGTTGCAGTGGTTTAGTTATTAATTATGTGAGTGGCCCTTATGCGCCAATCTTTTATACATAGATTGGAATTTATATGCTAAATATGTTTGAAAATTGTGTGTTATCTCCTTAATTTCACTTTTCAAAGGAAAACTTCATCTTGACAGTTATCACATGTATAAGCTTTCCACGGACGCCTCCCTAATCACCGCGCTCATGTAAGTTCTATGTGGCCTTGCCGCCACACATAAACTAGGGAAAGATATGTGCACGAAAGATGTAAGTACATCTCTATTCCATCCTTCCATTTTCAGCTTTCAAGATGTGTGCCGTGAATATATCCCAACACCTTCGGTCATGTAGCACCATCTGTTTACTATGGACTAAGGGACTACTGCCTCGAGGTTCACTATTACTTCCCCCTTTTCCTACGTCATTCACGGGACATATTCTCTCATGAGGTACCCATTTCTCACTAGCCAACTAAAATTTAAAGTTAGGAAATCCATTTGTAACCCTCCGTAAAGAAACATAAGAGTGTTTAGATCACTATTTAGTGATCTAAACGATCTTAAATTGTATCATATAGTGGCGACAGACTTGAGGTATAACCTTAGCTAAGAGTAGAGTGATAACCTCTCTTTTTCCCAATGAGAGTGATAACCTACATTGAAGTAAACATGTGGCCCATAGAGAAACTTGGTAATTTTTGTGTGGTGTTTACCAAAACTCTTGAAATGAAAGGATTAGTTTCCAGCATTTTCTTTTCAATATCAGTCGCATGTCTAAGAATTTTCATCATTGTTCCTTAGATCCCTTCTTTTACTCCGATGGTATTTTCAGATCATAATCAATGCATTCTAGATCAGAGTTAGGCGACAAACCTACGCGTAGGGCAAAAGACAAGGAGATTGGTGAGGTCGTTAACACTGACCATCCTTATCTCCACTCGCTTGATATATAAATGAAAATAAAAAGTGTTTCTATAAACTTGTATTCTAAAGACTATACTTGTAGGTAAGGCACAAGAATTAATGTACGTTGCAATTTTCTATAACAAAGACGCACTGGATAATTAGCTAAACCAACGAAGTAAGGTTAGACTGTGATGCATGACAATGTCCATTGCAGCAACAAATATGTGAGAACATTGATGATCCTCACCAACCATCCTTATCTAGTGCCGCTTGCTCGATAATATAAATGTTTTGCTAAAGTTGTAATCTCAAGACTTTTAATTTTAGGCACGATAATGTGCAGTTTTCCGTGGCCAAGATTGACTAGAAAATTAGCTAATCTGATCAATTAAAGTCAGAAAAATTATCTTGGTCTTGTCGTGCATGTCAATTTTGATTAAAGCCACAAATATGTGAGAGAATGATATGGTTTACCCTGACTACAATAGAATTCAACGAGCTCCACCTGGTTGATTGTCAATAAAACCATCCACATGTTTCCTTTCCCTAGTTAGGCTCTAATCAACCAGTCGTTTCGCTCACGCATGGTACGGCGACAACTGCCGCCGCACCGCTCGAAAAATCTGTGAGAAAAGCATGGGCGCACTCGTTGGTATACACATTGTCAGAGCGATACACCCAAGCCTGACGCGGTAGGGGAAGGAAAGTTCGAGGACTTCACCCGAAAAAATGAGTTAGGCTACGAAGCAGCAACCTTTTTTCGTATCCCTAGAGGAACAAGAGCGCGAGCGTACAGGAAATCGATACAACCGCGCGTGTGGGACAAGGCGGGGATGGCCGTGTGTCCCTATGCCTTTCGGCCCTATCGCCTCCCGGCTTCCCTGATTCGGATGATTTTGGCGACGCTCACTTGTGGACGAGGCCCCATGCTGCAAGCTACTAAACGACAAATAACCAGTGGTTTGTTGAATTACAAATATTAGCGACAGGTTTTTAGAAAAACATTTTTAGGTAAACTTGTTTTCCAGATGTAACTTTTAGTAACCTGTTTATATTTGTACAAAATAATGTGTGGGCAATTTTTTTTTTTTTTGTAAAACCAGCCCCGAGACGCATTCAGCTTTCCTATTCCCCGTACAATTTTTTTTAATCTACCATGCCTATCTCCTCCCGTGAGCTGTGAGCTGGTGTCCTTCCCAAGCTGAGCAACTTTCCCCAATTTAGCCGCGAAGTCTCCGATCCCATGTCGTCGTTTCCTCCTGTCACCACCACCATTACTATGGAGCTCAACCTCCCTCTGCTTAGCCATTCCTCCTTCTCTATCATATCCCTGGCTCCTAGACGCCAATGCTGGCTTCCAATCAGGCGCAGGCGGACGCTGGTCGCTGCTTTCCCTCGATTCCAGGCAGGGTCGCCGCGCCTGCCGCCCTTGGTCGGCCCCCGCACAGCTTCTCATGCTCAACCGCATGCAGCCGTGGCTTTGACGGCTCTGCGCGCACGAACGCCGGCCGGCCGCTTCCCCTCGACGCCTGATTCCTTGCCGCAACCGAAGGCTTGCCGCGAGAGCTCAATAAGACGGCCTCGGTGGCGGCGACGACCACGGGCAGCCGCGGTTCCGAGAATTCAGTTTTGCAGTATATCCGCGGATTGTTTAGAATAGTAAAACACGATTTTATTCCGGCGTTGGTCAATTTTCTGATTTATATAAAATGGATTCTGTACGTTCCATCTATCCAAACAAGACAACCCGTCTTGTCGATCGATCTGAAGCGTAATTACCCCGCTATCTCTTACCTTATGCAACGATCGATCCTTATCTTATCTCCGGAGCTCACGAATTGACCACACTCTGCTGGCATCTTTTAGCCTGGCCATGTTTTTACATGGCCTTTTTACTAGCCCACGCGCGGTGGAAACCAGCAATGCGTGGTAAACATTTTTACCGCGCGCGCGCCTCTTGGCCTATCCTCGAGCTAGGTGTTGCGATGCGATTGCGGTAACCATGCCCCAGTGCACGTGATTGGCTAGCTGCTTAAACATCACACGGTCGCTATCGGCATACGTCTTAGCATGTCGCCGTCCAAAGATAATGTGTGATGCTAGTGATCATCCTATCGACATCGATGTCAACGCGACTAGGGTATAGACAAGCAGATCAAAGGCATTGATGCTGAGATTTTTATTGCAGGATACGCAGTAGCTAGGAGACGAGGACAAGTGATATTTTTCACTTTGTACCTATGGTCGAAAGCCCGTTACTTAGCCGGGGAAATACAGCGGCAAAAATAGTGTGTTTCGTTTTCGTACCTGGGAATGCAGAATAGCTGAAAAATCTTCTTGAAAACTATCTGTCTGGTCTCGGTGCTGGTCTAACTCAGCACTGAGCTAGCAAGGACTCATGGTTAGACACTTAGATGTGGACATAACAGTAAGGAAATCCTACTAACCAGTGGCGAACCTAGAAATAAAATGGAGGATGTGCACACGTTAAGAAAACTGAAGTCTATTGCAATTAGCTTGCGTGGGCATTAAAAATAAGCTAATTTTGACATGGTGAAAAAATATCTTCCAAAAATCTGGGTGTGCCATGGCACACCTGGCACACCCCCTGGGTACGCCACTGCTACTAACATACTCTACTTACTAAAGAAATCGAGAAAAATACTATTGGATAACCGCAAGCTATAACTTTTCTAGACAGTCGAGTGATTAGAGAGATGATGGTCCTCCTAGTCTAATGGACATCAAACGCACTCAGATTTGACATATTATATGTCTCATGTAAGGGAGATTGTCTTTCTGTGCAAACCATGTATTCGTAGACGAGGTGCTACTAGTGTCTTCACTCTTATCTTAAAGTTCGATGACTTTATTAATCTTTAGTACAGATAGTGTGACTATATATGCACATTGTTGTATCTAGGCCAAAAGGCACCGGGAGAATTAGCTAAACCAGTGAGCTAAGGCTAGACTGCCATGCACGACAATGTCGATTGCAGCCACAAATGTGTGAGAACATGCATTATCAACACCCACCATCATTATCTACCTCCACTTGCTCGATAGTAAAAATTAAATTACATATTCTAAAGACTTCAATTTTAGGCACAATAAACGTGTAATTTTCCATGGCTAAGGTTGACCAAAAAATAGCTAGACCGGTAATTAAAGTCCGACAAATTACCTCGATGTTGTCACGCATGCCAATGTCGATTGTCGCCAAAATATGGCAGAACATGATATTGTTCGCCCTGGCGGCAATAGAATCTCAACGAGCTCCAGCTGGTAGATTGTCCGTAAAATCAGCCACATGTTTCAACCAGCTATTTCGCGCACGCACAGTAAATGCGAGAACCACCGCTGCGCTCGCCCTGCTAAAAAAAAACAGTGAGAAACGCATGGGTACGGGCTGTCATGACGATACGCCCAGGCTGTGGCGCGGTAGGGGAAGGAAAGTTCGATGTGTTCATTGGAAAAAAAGGTCTTAGGCTGCGAAGCGGCAACATATTTTTCGTGCCCTGAGCTACACAGGAGCGTTATCATACGGGAGATCTGTACGTCGGGGAGCGCGGGG